CCCCCAGGTAAACCTGAACAACGGTAAGAGCCTCTCGCCACTCAAGCATGTTGGACCGACAACGTATGCCACATGCTTGGAACCTTATAACCCACCCAGTAAGGAAAGGAAGAACTGAATTCAAAAGAGGCAGGATCCATTATCGAGGCATAATTTGGGTCATGCACGAGGTAAGCCACAAGGGCCTCCTGCACCTCATGAGGCGAGATGCGGGAGGCTGAAAACCTTCGGAAGGAAGGGACTGAAGAACCCAAGGGAACCTTGAACTGAATCTGGGGAGAAACTTACGCCATATCAATCTCGTACAGGGAGGGAGGATAAGAAAACCCCACCCCCTGTAACAACAAAACCCAAGCAGGATCAAATGGGGCCCAAACCCTTCAAGTTAGCTTCTCTCCACACCAGGCCCTGGGGCTAAGCTGTCCTCCAAACCCTCTGCTTCAAAAGAAAAGGCAGAGTGCACTGGAAAAGCAGGAAAGAAGGGGGCCCACAGGTCAGACCCAGAAGTACCGGCTGGAGGAACAGGCTCGAATGCCTCTGTTGCCACACCGGATGGGGGCGTCCCCTGAAACTGTCCGAGTCTCGCCACCAAATAAACCCTGCCCCGACTCTGAAACCCTCAGATGCTTCAGAGCCAGGTGAAAGGGGGGAAAGAACAAGACAAACAACAGCAAGGGAAGGACAAGGGGGGCACGGATGAAACCAAAGTCGAGACAACTAACACCCCCAATAACCAAAACAGAGCAGCCTCAGGGCATCCAGGTGAGCAACCAACTTAGCACACTGCAGCAACCTAAAACGTGCATGCAATGCCGAAGTCGCCTGCACCCAAATTCGGCACCAAACTCAGCACTGGTGACACCTTCAACCTGGAGGGTTGAAGGTGTCACCAACCCAACAGGCAGCATGATGGAGGTACAGCAGGCGAGTGTCAACATGAGACAAGGGAACAGAGCAAACTTCAAACTCGCACGAAGCGAGATGGGACCCCAGGGGATGCATCCATCAGACCACTGAGCCCCAGTGGGCATTTCCAGGGGCCCTTAGACACTGCTAAGGAAAGCCCAGGCAAGATACGGCTAATTAGCGCCCCAAATTACCAAGCGAACTACTAATTGCTGAACCCCCATGACGTGTACACTCACAGGGACCTAGCGAAGGACCACCAAGAATACTAATAGATAAGATTCAACAACACTGAGGGCAGACTCTCCACCAGGCAGGAAAAAAAAAAAGCACGAGTACAACGTTGCTAGGTGGACACTGTTATATGGTGAAAACTAGCTGCACAGTACCTTGCGTCCCTACCAGTGATGAAGTCATCTCCTACCCAGAGGCAAATGGGTGCATGAAACACCCCAGCTGACTCCAAAGGTGGGCAAACAAACTAAGCAGCAAAAGACCATGGCAGAGGTAGGTCCTGACTTGTGGAAGGGTCAACTTGTAGATCCTGACTTGTGGAAGGGAACCTCAAGCCACAAGGGCAGTACTTACAGGGGACCTAGGGAAGGTAACCCTAGGCATACACAGCCCCGAGTACTGGTGAAATTATTCTTGGCTCCCACACTACCACAGGACAGGACCACACCACAACGCACATCACTGGAAAACGTCTGGAGCCAGAGTCGCATGACCCCCAGGTCTTACATCAGCCACAGAACTGAGGGTGGATAGCTGGCACGGGGGTCTGGGTCTACCCCTGCCTCATCCTGGGGAGGGGGGAGCTGCGCAGACAGCAGCGCGGTGAGAGTTGTGACATCATGCTCATTTTAGTTTGGGGAGTTCTGTCCACTAGTTCGACTTTCAGTAGCAATTTTTAACCAGATAGGGTTTGTTTTGGGGCGCCTACCTATTTGGGTGCCTGACCTGGTCGATAGCAAACATAGAATGCTTCCAACTACACGGGGGGGGGGGGGGGGGGGGGGGGGGGGAGGGGGGGGACTATAAGCCATTGCTCCTCGTGCCTCTGTGAGGGGGCCAGGTTCTGGCTTGTGGTCCCTGGTAGGCCTAAGAACTCCATTCGCTTTGATGCCAGGGTCTAATACATTCATATCAGCCCGGATAGCTCCGGGGAGCCGAAGGGGCTCCCCCCCAGGAAACATCATTAGGTTACGAAATTGTATTTACTTATTGATTTATTTTTTCCCAGTGGCATAAGCATAGTCAGTCATATTGATTTTAATTCGTGCTCCCCGAGTTGTATCAATAGTTGGATACAAGTCTGCTACATGTTTCTTCAATATTTAACAAGAAATTGTGCATCTTCTCCCTCTACTCATCCACTTCTTTGTTTGATATGTGCTTGTTTTCTCTTATATACACTCAATTAAATCTTTCTAGCCTTTTGACTTTCTTGAGCATTGCTTTACTCTGCGTTCAAGGTTCCGATGGCCCAAATGAATGAAGTTTTGTCCCATGTTAATGTGGTTAGCAATTTTACTCTTTAATGTTTATTTCAAATGCCACACCTATCCTCCTTTCCTGATGGCATTGCTTTTAAATCAGTTAATAAATTACATCTGTATGGGTTTTAACTATTTCAGTGTAGATACTTAATTTAATCTTGAACATTGTGGCACTGCTCATCAAAGGACTGTAGGGAGGAAATGTTGTCATAGGCCTTAAAATGTGTTTCAGTGTAGATACCACATTATATATTTTTTGTGAATTTTCTGTCACAGGATAATTATGAAAAATGAGTGTTTGGACAGTTTCGTTGCCGATTGATTGTGTGTAAGAAAAAAAAAACTTTTGAAGTGTAATTGACAGAGGTATATAGTAGTAATCTGGAAATTAAAATGCTTATTTATATTAAAAGAAATGACTTTTAACATGCCCCTTGTGTGAAATGGAATGCCTTTGATAACCTTAACCCCACACCCACCCCTCTAGGGTGGACCACGATATAGTTAGTGATACCAGCGATGAGTCACACGAGGAAGACCAAGAGCCATCTAGGTAAATGTGAGCGCAATGAAATTGCAACGATTGGCTTTCCCTGCTTCTTATTTCTGGTAGCAGCTGTTGTAGGCATGATGAAGGCAGTGCTTATCTAGCACTTTAAGTTCTGTTCCTTTTGTTTGTTATATTTCAGTGGCAGCAGTGATTGGTAATACAGAGGAATGCCACTATTTTTTGCTGCTGGACCTTCACTTTTTTCTTTCTTTTTTGTATGGGCAGAATGCAGAAACTTGGAGTGAATGTATGTTGTTTAAATGTACTGTTTCTGCCCAACACAGTACTGTATTTTAACCATCACCAGTAAATTTGATTTTTTAGCTTCAATGCATGAAACAAGTGGCTTACCAAAAGTTCATTATTTCTTTAACAATTTGACCTCTCACAGGAAAGGCTGTGCATCCTCTTTTACAAATAGCTTAAGTTTCAATTTTTATTTTTTTAATGTGATGACATGCATGCTTCCATGTTTCATGCAGCCCCGATGAGGAAGTGAGTGAGGAAGCATTTAATATGAGTGATGAAGGGGAGGGAGAGCAGGACACAGAGGCAGAGATGGGGGAAACTGGTGGTAGTACACATTCACTTCAAGCAAAGACTCAAATATCATTCTCTCAGTCACAAGAACTGCATGTCCAATCTTCTGTTCAAGACTCTCAGGCTTCAGAAGAGAAGCCCAGAGCTGATATAATTGAGGATTCTCAGAAGGGGAAGATTTTGGGAATTGAGAAGGAAAGTAGTATTGATAAGAATGAAGATTCTCCCATAACAGAGCCAGTTCCCTTCTTTTATTATGTAACTCCAAAAATATTCAAAGATAGCTCTAAAAAGAAAGAGAAAGATAATAGTACCTTTAACTCAAAAAATTTGGATGAGGCAGAGCATCCTGTATCCTCACCAGTGTTGACGCCAAAGATTGGAGTCAGTAAATTACGAGATTGGCTCCAACGTCGTGAAAATGAAGAACAGGTTGCAAAGGTTGAGGGTGTTGAACCAGGAGAGTCGAGGGAAGGATCGCTCCGCAGGCTTTTATGTCGTTCCAAATCGGAGGCCATTGATCCTTCAGCTAAAGTGAAAGAGCAAGAAGCAGCTGATAGTAAGGAGCAGTCCCCAAAAGAATCTACCCTATCACGACGTCAGAAATTAATGTTGGCTTTCAGGCAACGTCCTTTAAGTGAAGAGATAATTATTCCCGAGTGCATCCAGCCCCCAGATATAAAAGAATCTCAGGCTAAATCTCAATCTTTGACTCGTCCTCGTAAGCTATGGATAGTTAGCCGTAGTCAGAGTGAGAGGCAAGCTAGTCCTGGTTCCCTTGAAAGTTCTCCTGCTCACGTAAATACTGAAAGTCCCAGCAAATATCAGGACAAGGAACAACGGAAACGCACTTTTCATTTGTTTCTGAGAGGCCCAAAAGAATGTAAAGCCCAAGATGCTGATGCTTCAGAGAAGAAAACGGTTACTCATGAGAGTAAAGATGTTAAAGTTCAACGTTCGCCAAGCTATGAGCTAGCTGTAACAGGTACTAATATTGTAAGCTTTGATTCAAAAGAAGATGGTAATCTGCCTGATGGAAATACCAATACAGGAAAGTTCAAACAGTTTTTAAAACAGAGAAGTGAAATAATACTGCGTCCCTTCAGCCGACGTACTGACAGAGAAAAAAGACAAAGTGCACCTGTGCAAGAAATTGATTTAGCAGGATCACAGGAGTCCACTGTAGAAGTATCTGACTTAGAGACTCGTCACCCTAGTATTAGCAGCTATATAGATGACACTCCTACTACATCAGTGCCTCCTCAGAGTGACCCTGTAATTCCTCCCGAATCACATCCTCATCCTTCCGATAACACTAACCCTGCTATTCAAAAGTCACTTAAGGCCATAAGCCCAGAACCCCCTCAATTCCCTGATTCAGAAGTGGAGTCATTAGTATTTGATTTGCAAAGTATGCAGTCAACCCCTGATATAGTTCGTAAGGCTCCAAATAGTCGTGGTAGTACCCTTAGTCATAGGCTAACCTTTACCCTACCCTTTGGTAGCACGGGAGCAGCTGCAGCAGTTGGTAATGAAGATGGGCTGAAGCCAGTGGAGAGAGCTGTTGAGGCACGTTCACATAGCAGTGACTATATTGGTTCCATGGTTCGCTGCCTTCACCTCACAAAATGCTTCATCGCAAATAGTAAGTCTTATGGCATTGTCTTCTTGCATCTTGAGAAAATTAAGTTAAGATTTAGCAGGTGTGTGTATGCTATGCTTTACAGTGTACTGGTTATAAAGGCATTTTTTAATATACAGTACAGTATTGTGTAAGTGAAATGCAGTACTGAATATATCATACCTAGTAACGAGAATTGCTCTACAGTACTAGGCCTAGTAAACAAGGTCTACATTGCTGAATAAGTAGAACATTTTATATTTTCTTGTATCTTCCCAACAAAAGCCAGATTCTCATTAATTTATCACATTATATTGATAACATAAATTACTTCTGTAATTTATTGGGCATATTTAGATTGGGGTCAGAATGCAAAGCTCTTTTCTAAAATTTAATATGTTCATTTTAGGGTTCTCCAATTTCACCTGATATTTCCCCTATCATTCTGTTAGTATAACATGGTCCAACCTCTCCACTCACCACCACCCACCTGCAGCCCCATTCACCACCACCACCCACCTGCAGCCCTAACCACCACCACCACCCACCTGCAGCCCCATTCACCACCACCACCCACCTGCAGCCCTAACCACCACCACCACCCACCTGCAGCCCTAACCACCACCACCACCACCCACCTGCAGCCCTAACCACCACCACCACCACCCACCTGCAGCCCTAACAACCACCACCACCACCACCCACCTGCAGCCCTAACCACCACCACCCACCTGCAGCCCTAACCACCACCACCACCACCCACCTGCAGCCCTAACCACCACCACCCACCTGCAGCCCTAACCACCACCACCCACCTGCAGCCCTAACCACCACCACCACCATCCACCTGCAGCCCTAACACCACCACCACCCACCTGCCTCTTACCACCACCACCACCACCCACCTGCCTCTCACCACCACCACCACCACCCACCTGCCTCTCACCACCACCACCACCACCCACCTGCAGCCCTAACCACCACCACCACCCACCTGCAGCCCTAACCACCACCATTACCACCCATCTGCAGCCCTAACCACCACCACCCACTCACCTGCAGCCCTAACCACCACCATTACCACCCATCTGCAGCCCTAACCACCACGACCCACCCACCTGCAGCCCTAACCACCACCATTACCACCCATCTGCAGCCCTAACCACCACCACCCACCTGCAGCCCTAACCACCACCCACCCACCCACCTGCAGCCCTAACCACCACCCACCCACCCACCTGCAGCCCTAACCACCACCCACCCACCCACCTGCAGCCCTAACCACCACCCACCCACCCACCTGCCGCCCTAACCACCACCCACCCACCCACCTGCAGCCCTAACCACCACCCACCCACCTGCAGCCCTAACCACCACCATTACCACCCATCTGCAGCCCTAACCACCACCACCCACCTGCAGCCCTAACCACCACCATTACCACCCATCTGCAGCCCTAACCACCCAGTTCTTGCTGAGAAAGCAGTGCTAGTTTGTGACAGTCTAATCTACTTCAGATGAATTACCACATTTCCACTAGTGTGTTAAGAAAACATAACTGGTTCATTTATGTCCCCACAAAATGAGGGTGGTCTACTTTCCTAGCTTGTTCTGTGGAGGTCTGTCAAAAATCTGGATTCAGTGGAAGGATTCTGTTCTAATAGTAATATCATTGTATTGACTGGATTGACTTTCAGTGAAGTGAGTCAATGTATTTATTTGACCAGAAATTGCAAACAAATAGAAATTGCCATGCCCCTCACCAAAAAATGTTTTTAAAATTTGTTTTTAATTATTTTATGGGTTATACATTTAATGGTAATTATATACACTACTTTATATCTACAAATTGGAGAATGACTATCATTTGGTATGACTAAATGGTAAACAATTACATTTGGTTCCCAGGTAAAACCAAAACAGAAAAACAGCATCATGATATGTACTTTGAAACATTTCAGCACAGGCAATGTCAGCCACACTATGGGCTGGCACTAACAGTGGGGCCATTTTTGTATTCACCATCTCCATTCCACCGTCCGAGAAACGAGGAGACGTTCCGCTAAGTGTGCAGCTAGGTAAAGAAATACACTTGAAGCATGGAGCGCCTGTTATAAGTGTGTGCATCCTTGATGGTGCCAGTAGACCCTTCCCTCAACCAATGGCAGTCAAGAAAGAGGCAGCCCCGGGACCTAATACAAACATGCCACACAGAGTCTTGATATGCTCAGAAGAACAGTTTAAGGTAAGTAACACTTGTGTTGGTTGAAGAGTGCACCAAGTGCTGACAACGATGTAGAAAAACACCATCAATAGAGAGTAGATTTAGTAGAAAGAGTAAAAAATAACAAAGTTTAAACTTTTGACTATAAGGGCTTTAGTCACTCTTGATAAAGCCCTTGCGGGCAAATCATCTACAAATGATTAGCTTTCATCTCAGTGTCTTTCTACATCAATGCTTCTAATGAATAATAATACAGTAGAGCAACACATCCCAATGTCTTATATATATATTTGTATAACTGTTCATGTAATTTACAAAAATAAATTATAGTATTGCTGTTTGGTTGATTTTAATAAGGAATTTCACGGTAAATTGGGGATGAAATGTTAAAAATATTGGTTCAGTATTTTTAAATATGCAATTCTCTTAAATTAATTTAGGTGCTTAATCAAAATTAAGCTTTACTTTATTTACAGTATATAAATGGGATCCTATGGATGACTTTAGTTATGGGTGAGGCCTGGGTTATGCATATATATACTCTTGTTGTATATGGAGAACTTAAAACTTCTTGATAATTTGTCTAAAAAGTAGACATATAGGATACTAATATTTGGGGTTTATGCCCACCACATACAGTTTTATACATGAATGTTTGACTATAAGGGCTTTAGTTAATCTTGATAAAGATTGGATGAGGCAAACCACTAAGTTGGTTTAGTGAGTCCAAACAACAAGAGTAGCTGCCACACATCAGCCAGGAGACAGTACCTTCCTCCCTTCTTCAACACCTCACTCACCAACATTCTTCCTCCCATAACACAGTTTGTGGTGTTATTACACTATACACACACATTATATATAAGTATCTACATGTTTTATTCACCATAACTATACAACTAAGCTGGTATGGTGTCCAAACACCATAGTGGCCACCATACACTGCACGACGAAGTCACACACAAGCCAGCAGACGATGCTGTCTCCTTCACCAAACTGGCTCCTCCCACTATATCCCTTTTGCTGTTATTATACTATATACACATCTTGTATATAAGTATCTACATTTATGTTCACCATAGTGAACTAATAAGCTGGTATGGCAAGTTCAGACAATAACAGAGGACACCATACAGAGTCAGCAGACGACGCCACCTCTCCCTCCCTCACCAAGATTCCTCCTCCCGACACTACACACAGCGCTAATTCTCACCACAATGCTGCTATTCTCAAAATCGTGGTCACTAACTCCTGTTAATGAATAATTTTCCACAAGTTTATTTTGTAAAGGAACATGAGACGTCATTTCAAGATTCTTAGATGGACCAAACAATGACAGCATGCTGTGGTTAGCTGCCTTCAAACTGAACATCTTTAACAGCATTGTGTTCACTGATATCTAAACATTGTACACAGTTTTTATCACAGTTAGGCTCTTTTTGTAATATTATCATTGCTAAATAGCAGTTACATATATATTTTGACATTTTTAGGCAATGCTGTGGTCACAAGCTGAATAGCTGTGCTGTTAGTTCATGCAGCATGTGCCAGCCTTGGTTGCTCACTCAGTACTGAGGGTCTCAAACCTGGGAATGTTGCCCACAATTTTTTTTTAAATGGCGTCTGTTTACTAGATCCCTGAGGAAGCTGAAGTGACCCCCCCGTGTAGCCATGGGACATTTAAATCTTGCTCTTGTAGAGATAGATATATATATATATATATATATATATATATATATATATATATATATATATATATATATATATATATATATATATATATATATATATATATATATATGTATACTGGCAGCAGGTTTTCTTTCAAACATGTTTCATTGAATATGACCGCATATTCTGTATTAATAATTTTCTGGTTTAGGGCTTCTATCCCTCTAACTATTTTCTTAGCATCAGGGCTTAATTGAAATAGGAGTTCTCCAAAATTCATTTTCGTACTTTCAAGGTGAAGAAAAGAAGTGATTTACTATAGAGTGTATTACACTTATTTGTATAATTTGCACGACGTTTCGAACCTCCATGGTTCATTCTCAAGTGAACAGATCTTACAAAACTAGTTGATTTTATACCCGCATTAGGTCAGGTGATAATACAATGAAGGTGAAAACATGGGGGGATACATAAGGGATAAACATAGGGGCAGCAGAAGGCTTATTGGCCCATACGAGGCATCTCCTATCCAAACACAAAGATTAATCCAGTGTAATTGGCCTGTTATGTTGGACATTGTCTTCTGTGTTGGCATCGATATGTTCTTGTCTTGTCCTTACTCTCATGGTGGGTAGAGTAAATAGTTCCGTGATTTGGGTGTTCATGGTAGGTCGCTCTATTCTTATGTGAATTGCCTCAAGAATCTGTAATCTTCTTGAATCTTGGGTTTTGTCTATTATGCAAGTATTCTTGTTCAACATTTCTCTTGTTAGAGTAATGTCATGGGCTTGTCTCATGTGATTCCTAGGGGCACCAGATTGAAGATGGCATGTCAAACGCCTCGTCAGCTTGGTCGACGTCATACCTATGTACTTACATTGAAGGTTACATCCTTCGTGGGGGCAAGTGTACATGTATACAACGCTTGACTGCTGTAGAGGGTTCTCCGTCGGCTTCGGGCTGTTTTTGATAAGGAGTTCGGAAGTCTTCTTGGTTTTGTAGAATATTATCAGGTTTATGTTTTGGTTAGGAGTAGTGCTTTTTACTCCTTTACGGATTATTTCTTTCATTATTCTTTCCTCTTTTATAGCCCATGACATTACTCTAACAAGAGAAATGTTGAACAAGAATACTTGCATAATAGACAAAACCCAAGATTCAAGAAGATTACAGATTCTTGAGGCAATTCACATAAGAATAGAGCGACCTACCATGAACACCCAAATCACGGAACTATTTACTCTACCCACCATGAGAGTAAGGACAAGACAAGAACATATCGATGCCAACACAGAAGACAATGTCCAACATAACAGGCCAATTACACTGGATTAATCTTTGTGTTTGGATAGGAGATGCCTCGTATGGGCCAATAAGCCTTCTGCTGCCCCTATGTTTATCCCTTATGTATCCCCCCATGTTTTCACCTTCATTGTATTATCACCTGACCTAATGCGGGTATAAAATCAACTAGTTTTGTAAGATCTGTTCACTTGAGAATGAACCATGGAGGTTCGAAACGTCGTGCAAATTATACAAATAAGTGTAATACACTCTATAGTAAATCACTTCTTTTCTTCACCTTGAAAGTACGAAAATGAATTTTGGAGAACTCCTATTTCAATTAAGCCCTGATGCTAAGAAAATAGTTAGAGGGATAGAAGCCCTAAACCAGAAAATTATTAATACAGAATATGCGGTCATATTCAATGAAACATATATATATATATATATATATATATATATATATATATATATATATATATATATATATATATATATATATATATATATATATATATAATATATATATATATATATATATATATATATATATATATATATATATATATATATATATATATATATATATATATATATATATATATATATATATATATATATATATATATATAACTTGGCTTATTAGGCAAATTGGGCCTTGCATAGTAGGCTGTGAAGTGGAAAATAGAGATGAAGTGGAAAATATGCTAAAGGAGCTCAGTAAGAACAAAGCAGCTGGCCCAGATGGAGTTTCACCATGGGTTCTGAGAGAATGAGCATCTGAGCTCAGCATTCCACTTCACCTGAACTTTCAGGCATCCCTATGTACAGGAGTCATAGCAAATGTGTAGAAACAGGCTAACATAGTTCCAATCTACAGAAGTGGCAGCAGGGAAGACCCCCTCAATTATAGACCTGTATCATTGACTGGTGTAATAGTGAAAGTATTGGAAAAACTAATCAAAACTAAATGGGTAGAACACCTGGAGAGAAATGATATAATAGACAGACAGTATGGTTTTCGATCTGGAAGATCCTGTGTATCAAATTTACTCAGTTTCTATGATCGAGCCACAGAGATATTACAGGGTAAGAGATGGTTGGGTTGACTGCATCTATCTGGACCTAAAAAAGGTTTTCGACAGAGTTCCACATAAGAGGTTGTTCTGGAAACTGGAAGATATTGGAGGGGTGACAGGTAAACTTCTAACATGGATGAAAATTTTTCTGACATAGAAAAATGAGGGCAGAAATCAGAGGCTATGTATCGGACTGGAGAAATGTCACAAGTGGAGTACCACAGGGTTCAGTTCTTGCACCAGTGATGTTCATTGTCTACATAAATGATCTACCAGTTGGTATACAGAATTATATGAACATGTTTGCTGATGATGCTAAGATAATAAGAAGGATAAGAAACTTAGATGATTGTCATGCCGTTCAAGAAGACCTAGACAAAATAAGTACATGGAGCGCCACTTTTCAAATGGAATTTAATGTTAATAAATGCCATGTTATGGAATGTGGAATAGGAGAACATAGACCCCACACAACCTATATATTATGTGAGAAATCTTTAAAGAAGTCTGATAAAGAAAGAGATCTAGGGGTGGTTCTAGATAGAAAACTATCACCTGAGGACCACATAAAGAATATTGTGCGAGGAGCCTATGCCACGCTTTCTAACTTCAGAATTGCTTTTAAATACATGGATGGCGATATACTAAAGAAATTGTTCATGACTTTTGTTAGGCCAAAGCTAGAATATGCAGCAGTTGTGTGGTGCCCATATCTTAAGAAGCACATCAACAAACTGGAAAAGGTGCAAAGACATGCTACTAAGTGGCTCCCAGAACTGAAGGGCAAGAGCTACGAGGAGAGGTTAGAGGCATTAAATATGCCAAAACTAGAAGACAGAAGAAAAAGAGGTGATATGATCACTACATACAAAATAGTAACAGGAATTGATAAAATCGATAGGGAAGATTTCTTGAGACCTGGAACGTTAAGAACAAGAGGTCATAGATATAAACTAGCTAAACACAGATGCCGAAGAAATATAAGAAAATTCACTTTCGCAAACAGAGTGGTAGACGGTTGGAACAAGTTAGGGGAGAAGGTGGTGGAGGCCAAGACCGTCAGTAGTTTCAAAGCGTTATATGACAAAGAGTGCTGGGAAGACGGGACACCACGAGCGTAGCTCTCATTCTGTAACTACACTTAGGTAATTACATAATTTATAGGTTGTGTGGGGTCTATGCTTTCCAATTCCACATTCCATAACATGGCATTTATTCACATTAAATTCTATTTGCCAAGTGTTGTTCCATATACTTATTTTGTCCAGGTCTTCTTGAAGGGCATGACATTCATCTAGGTTTCTTATCTTCCCTATTATCATAGCATCATCAGCAAACATGTTCATGTAATTCTGTATTCCCACTGGTAGATTGTTTATGTAGACAATGAACATTACCGGTGCAAGAACTGAACCCTGTGGTACTCCACTCGTAACATTCCTCCAATCCGATACCTTGCCTCTGGTTACATCCCTCATTTTTGTCAATTAGGAAATTTTTCATCCATGTTAGTAGCTTACTTGTCACTCCTCCAATATGTTCCAGTTTCCAGAACAACCTCTTATGGGGATCTCTGTCAAAAGCCTTTTTTAGGTCCAGATAGATGCAGTCAACCCAACTATCTCTTTCCTGTAAAATCTCTGTTGCTCAATCATAGAAACTGAGCAAGTTCATTACACAGGATCTTCCAGATCGAAAACCATACTCTCTGTCTGATATTATATCGTTTTCCTCCAGGTGTTCTACCCATTTAGTTTTAATTATTTTTTCCAATATTTTGACTATTACACTTGTCAATGATACAGGTCTATAATTAAGGGGGTCTTCCCTGTTTCCACTTTTGTAGATTGGAACTATGTTAGCCTTTTTCCACACATCAGCTACAACTCCTGTACACAGGGATGCCTGAAAAATCAGTTGGAATGCTAAGGTCAGGTGCACATTCTCTCAGAACCCATGGTGAAACTCCATCTGGACTGGTGTATGTGTGTGCAGGTGTGGTCTGTGTGCAGGCATTGTATATGCAGGTGTGATCTTTGGGGGGAAACTGACTTGTGAGATTTATATTTTGCAATATATATTAATGAATTCTACTTTATATTAAGTTATATAGTAATTTATATAGTTATTTATTTTTACGTTTATTTTGTTAGTGGACTGTGTGATTTTTAATTAAAGTTTCACAAATTGCTTTCTACACATTCTGGAGGGTTCATTAAATTATTTATATATATAATTTATTAATCAAAATTATTGATTAGTAGACATTCACTACAGTATTAGACTACATATATTGATAACTAAAATTTAATACAGCTTATCTGTATGGATGATTATGGCCTAGACAACCAGATATGAACACGGATGAAACACACCAGTCAATACTCCTCCTGTGGGTGATGCTGACGTCACCACATGTACTAGTTGCTAGATAATTGTTATTAGTTCTTCTTCTTCTTCAGTTACACCTATCAAAGGGCACTCACAATAATAGCAGTAATCCTAAATATGACAGTTATATCAGGGGAAGTATTGTTATTTATGAGATAACTGGGAGCCGGTCGGCCGAGCGGACAGCACGCGGGACTTGTGATCCTGTGGTCCTGGGTTCGATCCCAGGCGAGAAACAATGGGCAGAGTTTCTTTCACCCTATGCCCCTGTTACCTAGCAGTAAAATAGGTACCTGGGTGTTAGTCAGCTGTCACGGGCTGCTTCCTGGGGGTGGAGGCCTGGCCGAGGACCGGGCCGCGAGGACACTAAAGCCACGAAATCATCTCAAGATAACTCAAGATCAAGATAACATCCAAGTAATATTTACCTTGTTAGTTTTGCTCGCTAGCATCCTAACCGGTTTACCCTAATCTCCTACATTTCTGGCCAGGAATGAATAGGTAATCAACGGGTTTCGGTATCAGGACACTTTCCTTATTAGTAGACTATGAATGTGTTGATAATAGGAGCACTTTACATCCCATAGCACTACGTCAAAGGGGATTAATTGTAGAGCTGCTCTGCTCCAGCAAGACTTGTTGTTAGGTTAAAATTTAATGACGACTACTGGCTGGCCTCCCTCCCACTGACTCATCAAGCATCTTGTCCAGATGTCGTCAAGAAGTGGAAAGAGGCTTAAATTTAATATATTTTAGTACTGATAGTTAAGATTGTTCAAGGGAAATGTTTTTATGATGTTTACAGTCAAGAGACTGCTGTATTAACACTATCACGCGTGCCACGCGCGCACCACAGACTTTGACGTCGTGGGGCTAATGGTGCGGGCGAGCGTGTGGCGACGCCTAAATGTGTATACTGGTTTCAGTTTTCTTACCTTAATTCTCGTGCTACATCATTCATTCTGGTATCATTGTGTTCGCAATTAAATTCCCTGCAGATGTATATGCATATAATGTCCAAAAGCCTGGCGAGACTCCCCGCAGCAAAGCCTAAAGTTACCCGTGAACGAGCATCAATTTGCACACCACAACCTAATGTGTATACTCGTTCAGTTTGATAACATCAATTTTCATGTTACATCGCTCATTTTGGTATCAAATTGTTCACAATATAAAGGCGGGCATTTTAAAACTAGTCCCATAATAATAGCACAATAAATAGAATTTTAACAAATATTTTAAAATGTAAAATTTAGACCCAAAAAGTATTTATAATCTTTCAAGTGTTCTGACATCAAGTTTCGTGTTACATTTTGGTATCAAATTGTGCGCATTCTAAAGGTGCTTATTTTGAGACCATCCTGAGGTCGCTCGGATAAAAAATGAATTTTATACAAATAGTTTTGTAGTGGACGCGAGTCCTGTCCACGGCTAGGACACAAGAGAAAAAAAATGGACGTGATCGGTGTCCAAAGCGAGCGATAGTGTTAAGATTGATTCCCAATATTAGGTGGTGAATTTAATGGCGACATATGGCAATGATATCTGTGTTCTCTTCCGAGGAAATTTCCAATGTGCCTCATTTTCTACGAGTAAATTTATTATTACAATCCAGCAGCAATATTATCTGTCTATTGTATTAAATGTTAGTAAATGGTGTCTGTTTCTTCGACATGGCCTCTGTGCAGGCATTGTGTGCAGGTGTGGTCTGTGTGCAGGTGTGGTCTGTGTGCAGGTGTGGTCTGTGTGCAGGTGTGGTCTGTGTGCAGGTGTGGTCTGTGTGCAGGTGTGGTCTGTGTGCAGGTGTGGTCTGTGTGCAGGCATTGTGTGCAGGTGTGGTCTGTGTGCAGGTGTGGTCTGTGTGCAGGCATTGTGTGCAGGTGTGGTCTGTGTGCAGGCATTGTGTGCAGGTGTGGTCTGTGTGCAGGTGTGGTCTGTGTGCAGGTGTGGTCTGTGTGCAGGTGTGGTCTGTGTGCAGGCATTGTGTGCAGGTGTGGTCTGTGTGCAGGTGTGGTCTGTGTGCAGGCATTGTGTGCAGGTGTGGTCTGTGTGCAGGCATTGCGTGCAGGTGTGGTCTGTGTGCAGGCATTGTGTGCAGGTGTGGTCTGTGTGCAGGCATTGCGAGCAGGTGTGGTCTGTGTGCAGGCATTGTGTGCAGGCATTGTGTGCAGGTGTGGTCTGTGTGCAGGCATTGTGTGCAGGTGTGGTCTGTGTGCAGGCATTGTGTGCAGGTGTGGTCTGTGTGCAGGCATTATGGGCAGGTGTGGTCTGTGTGCAGGCATTGTGTGCAGGTGTGGTCTGTGTGCAGGCATTGTGTGCAGGTGTGGTCTGTGTGCAGGCATTGTGTGCAGGTGTGGTCTGTGTGCAGGTGTGGTCTGTATGCAGACATTGTGTGCAGGTGTGGTCTGTGTGCAGGTGTGGTCTTTGCATGAACTCGTACTGGTTCATCATATGGAAACGTTTTGAATTTCCCTTACTGTATTCATAAAGTACAGTACATGTATATCTTAAAATGTACTGCATTGAGCATACTTATATATTTTTTTTTTCAGGTATTTACATTACCGTACTTGAAACCATTCTGCAAATTCAAACTTACGGCGCACGAAGGTTCCAGAGTCCGTAAGATAGGCTATGCAGAATTTGTATCTTCTGTAGATGAAAATTACCAGGAGTCCTGCTTTATGGCTATGACCAACATGGGAGATTTTTCTTTGTATTCTTTGCCTGACTGTCGAAGGCAATTGTACACACCATACATAAAAAGGGAAGATATTAAGTAAGTATTGAACCGTTTCATTTTGTAACTCTGAATAACGTTCATGTCGTGTTGATTAGTTGTATTAAATTTTGTCATTTTTCCCATAGGCCATTTTTCATTGTCCATGAGAATTGTTGTTGAGCAGCCATAGTTCAGAATAATTGTAGCTGAGCTCCTTGTTAATATTATATTTTATATTATGTTCTATTCTATTTTATTCTATTATATTCTATTATATCATTTTATATTAATATTATATTATATTAACATAATATAATTATAATATATGGTAGGTGGTAGGAGAAGTGAATACAGTACTCCTATGTATTTAGAGATAAATGACAAGTTTTTGTCTGAATGCTCTGCATTTCCTGAGGTGCAGGTGATGAGTCACAATAACATGGCTAACGTATGTTGACCAGACCACACACTAGAAGGTGAAGGGACGACGACGTTTTGGTCTGTCCTGGACCATTCTCAAGTTGATTGTGATGAGGAATGATTGATGAAGATTAAGCCACCCAAGAGATGGCACGGGCATGAATAGCCTGTAAGTGGTGGCCCTTTTGAGCCATTACCAGTATCAAGAGCTGATACTGGAGATCTGTGGAGGCGCGACTGCACCCTGCGTGACGGGAGATGTCTCCCGGACCAAGTGGTGACCAGATGGTGTGATGAGGAAGTAGATGCAGGCAATAAATAGGCAAGAGAGAGGTGAGGAGCGAGGTAAGGTGTAGTAGAGGGAATTGTAGTAGGAATAAGACTACTTCCTCATCACAATCGACTTGAGAATGGTCCAGGACAGACAAAAACGTCGTCGTCCCTTCACCTTCTAGTGTGTGGTCTGGTCAAAAAATATCCTGGTATTTTCAAATTGGGTCTGAACCTCCTTGTTCCAAGTTATCTATCTAGTATAGTATATGAGCATCTGACATTGTACTGAAAATTGACAGTTCATGATGATTAGAATTTTATGCAAAAAATTATTTTTGCACAGGTGGCCTCTTGATTTCTGCTAGGTTTTAATTTCTGAAAAAAAAAATGCAAATTACAGACCTGCACAAAACAAACTTGCAGCTTATGGAAAATAGTTCTAGTTGCCTCAAAAAATACAAATTTTTCCTCTTTAACATTTATGTTGATGCTGCCTCTACTTGCTAGAATCTTTGAGATTTAGGGAAACAAGTAGCATCTTGTTTACAAATAATTGCTCTTATGGTGCCATGAAAGCAAATTTGTGTATAGTACTACATAATGTACTATACTGTATTTTATGTTAGTACTGAAGCAGATTCTGCAACCCGTAACATTAGGAAAAAGTGCTGACTATTTGCTTTACTTTAAATTTCTGATACATGTGCTATATTAATCTATTTTGCAAAATTGCATTTAAGAATCAGTGAAATGTATTCAAATATTAGATCCTGAGTTGGGAGTTTGATCTCACTTTCATTTACCTCTTAAATTTCTAACTTAAAACCACATACTTATATGCAAGGCTTTGTTGAAAGCTAATGCATTGTGAAGTATAGAGTGTGAGAGGCAGGCTATGAATAACCAACATGTTAGGAATAGTGAGAAGTATTTGAAGTGGATGCAAGGGACATGTGAGTTGCAGCAAGTGAAGGCTCAAGTATGGTGCCAGCATGGTTTACAGGATGGTAAGTCAGAGAAGAAGTGTGTAGTGATAAAGCCAAGTACTACATTTCCTCCAGAGAATGTGAATGTGTGTTCAATATTAAGTTTAGGTGCAGAAAGGTTTTGACAAATTTAGTTTTTTTTCCAAAGAATTCAAGGAATCAAATTGAGGATAAAAATATAAGCAGTGTTATGGAAGAGCATTGGTGATATGAGTGTAGCAAGAACATTGTAAGCTGCAAAATTATAGTGAATTTTTCGAGTGACTCGAGTAATTAAACATCCAAACTTCGAAAGCTGAACGAGAGAGAATTATTTAATTATTGTGTATATAAAGTCACAGGTTGACTGTATGGGTAGAAATGTTTGCTAGGAAAATATAAATAAATATTTTGTGTATGTTGCACACGCTTGTTAATAAATCTAATATAAATGTTACATTTTTCCGGTACAGTATTATTGTGTGACTTGTATTCTTTCTACTTTTTTAGCGGCATCAATAGTGTGGTGTTCAGTAACCGTGGTGAGGCCCTATATTTGCTGTCACCTTGTGAATTAGAACGCGTCTCCCTCTCGGCAAGGCACATAACCCGACCTAATGGATCAGTTCCCGTTATAAAATCCCTGTTAGTCCAAGAGCCTCAAGAAGAATCTAAAGAAAAGGTAAGATTATACTAAGTCAAAGCAGTGAGAATGTAGTACAGGAGAACAAATCCACAAGGTCCGTGATGAGGGTTTGGAACCTTCCCCACCAATGGTGCCCGGCCATCCCCACCAATGGTGCCCTGCCATCCCCACCAATGGTGCCCTGCCATCCCCACCAATGGTGCCCTGCCATCCCCACCAATGGTGCCCTGCCATCCCCACCAATGGTGCCCTGCCATCCCCACCAATGGTGCCCGGCCATCCCCACCAATGGTGCCCTGCCATCCCCACCAATGGTGCCCTCCCATCCCCACCAATGGTGCCCTGCCATCCCCACCAATGGTGCCCTCCCATCCCCACCAATGGTGCCCTGCCATCCCCACCAATGGTGCCCGGCCATCCCCACCAATGGTGCCCTGCCATCCCCACCAATGGTGCCCTGCCATCCCCACCAATGGTGCCCTCCCATCCCCACCAATGATGCCCTGCCATCCCCACCAATGGTGCCCTGCCATCCCCACCAATGATGCCCTGCCATCCCCATCAATGATGCCCTCCCATCCCCACCAATGATGCCCTCCCATCCCCACCAATGATGCCCTGCCATCCCCACCAATGATGCCCTGCCATCCCCACCAATGATGCCCTGCCATCCCCACCAATGATGCCCTGCCATCCCCACCAATGATGCCCTGCCATCCCCACCAATGGTGCCCTGCCATCCCCACCAATGATGCCCTGCCATCCCCACCAATGATGCCCTGCCATCCCCACCAATGGTGCCCTGCCATCCCCACCAATGATGCCCTGCCATCCCCACCAATGATGCCCTGCCATCCCCACCAATGATGCCCTGCCATCCCCACCAATGATGCCCTCCCATCCCCACCAATGATGCCCTGCCATCCCCACCAATGATGCCCTGCCATCCCCACCAATGATGCCCTCCCATCCCCACCAATGATGCCCTGCCATCCCCACCAATGATGCCCTCCCATCCCCACCAATGATGCCCTCGGCCCTTGTGGATTTGTTCATTTGATATATCACATAATTAGTAGTCTATTTAGGGTAAGACGACGTTTATTAATTTTTCTGATGGTAGAATATACCTTATGACTTGAAATTTTCTTAATTTTTCAATGCATTATTAGCACTCAGTTTCTTTAGTCTGCAGTGTTCTCAATGTTTTTATATATATCTTTATTATTTTAATTGTTTGAAATTGCTTGAAATTCATATATCATATTATTTTCTTTACCATTGTTTTTGAATAGCACTGTTTTGTATATGAATTGTAAAAAAAAAAAATCTTGAAAATAAGCCAATAAATAAATTTTCAGCCAAGTGAAAATGAAGCAGAAGGTGGGAATAATAATGATGATGCTGCTCCCGCCGCCGCCGCTGCTGCTGCTGCTGCTGCTCCCGAGCTGCAAGAAGCATCTGTGGACTCGCAAGAGAAGGTGATTTTTAAAGCTGGTTATGAACTGCTGTAGCTATCTGTTGAAACCTTACACCAAATGGAGCGGAAGAGATGCAGTATGCTTTGTGGACATAATGAATGCACCTGTCTTAACTAGTGCTCTCTCTAGTAGAGGGCAGTCTTTCATGTGAGGCCTGAACACTGGCCTCACATTTACTTTGAACTCTGAGCATTTCCATTGAAATGTGTGTCCATTGAACACACATTTCATTACTTGGGCTTTCATTTATTATGTTCTTACACTAAATGCTGTTCTTTCTTGTGTTTTATATTTTATTCTTGTCATAATGTAGTGGAAAACCTTTATAGCCTCTGCCAATCTTTCTCTGCCATTGATCTTTCTATCTTCATTAGTTCAATTGTAATCATATGCAAACTCTTCTTTTTAACATGTTGCCTCTCCACTATGCAGTGATTGAGACCATGCAAAATGTTCACTTTACATATTAGCCAAGCCTTGCTTTGCATCCACTCTACTGTATTACAAGATAAAGCTAAATTGAGTGAGTGGTATGGATTTTTGTATTATTTCAAGAGAAGTACATGGTGATTTATTTTTAGTTGGCAGAGACAGTAAGAACTTGGAGGAGAAAAAAGTATGCTGAGGTACCAAAATGGAAAAGAAGGTCTTGACTCTGGATTGTGATTATTTCGTCATAATTGTAGATAAAGAAAAGATGTTGATGCGTGTAAGTGGTCATCAGCAGCAAACCACAAAGAGGGAGGCTAAAGATTAAACCTTTATTAAATGTGTACGACTTACAGAAGTGAAAATATCAATTATTAAAGTGGCCTATTTAGTAAAAATTACATTTGGTATGTCTTTCTGAAGTATTTACAGTATTCAAAATCATTTAAAAAAATTATTGGCTATCAAATACAGCCAGCCTCATGCTTTACAAACCTCTCGGGGCCGAGACTCATAGGATAACTTGTCGTGTTCGTATATGCGGTCCATCGTGCTGTAAATCTGGGGGAAAGAATAGACAATTTCACGGCATAAATAAATTCAACAGTATTTTGTTTGTACTTGTCAATATGAGAAGTCCTGATCCACTTGCTAACTTCATTCATTGTTGATGGAGCATTGTTATTTATATGCAAGAGGTGGTGGTGGATGTTGATGATGTTTGGTTGACTGAAGTGGAGATTAATGGTGATGAGGTAACCTCATGTTGAAGCATTTGGGTCAACATGTGATGAGTCAGGTGCAGGTGGTACAGTGTGAGCTTTCTTGGAAGCCTTTGCAAAAAGACTCCTAAATTGATATTTGTTTCATTCCCTTTGCTCTTGTTTTCAAATCTTCATATACAAATTGTACTGGTTCATCACATCCTTAGTTTCAAACTCACTGTTACTTGTTTCCATAAATGCCAGAATGCCTTCAAAGTATTGCGGAACTTTTTATATGTTACCTTGTTTCTTCAACATTTCTTCATCATCCTCTTCCTTGTCATCATCTTCATTGCACTATTTCTTCATCAGTCATATTTTGGAAGGTTGGGGCTTCTTCGTCATAATCTACCTATTTATCTATGTTATCTTCTACTGTTTCTGTCACCCTTTCTGCTCTCAGTTCTGCAGACTTAATCCCCCTAACATTGACTAGGAGTTCCTCTCTTAATTGTTTCTTCGCGGTAACTTTCTTGGCTGCAAATTCTTCAAAATCTGCCTCATCATCTCCCTCGGGAAACAGACCTGATGGAAGCTAAAGTTTATTCCAACCATTTGTAAGTGTTGTTGGCTTTACTTCTTTCCATGCACTAGCTATTGTCCAGATAGCTGACTTTATTGCGTAGACATTAAAAAAGTCTTTAACTGTTCCTGGCTGGTTATTAAGATGTGTGGCAAACATCCTCTTGTGGTGGTGCCTTAGGTTCTTAATTATCCCTTGATCTAAGTGTTGGATCAATGAAGTTGTATTGGGTGGTAAGAACATACCAATGCTATTCCCATTTACTAGCTCATCACCTCGTGGATGCGTTGCGTTATTATCCAGCAGCAGCACAACTTTGCTGCTTTATGGGAGGCCAAAACTTTTCATGTGCTCCTTCATCTTGGGGGCAAAGTTTTTATTAAACTACTCGGGAATTATTACTTGAGACATCCACCCACTTGACTTATAAATCACAGTATTTTTAAATAATAGGGAGGCACCTAGCTGACTATAAAGCCCTGGAGTTTTTTATAGTTCCAATCTCAAGTAATTTCAGTTTATGCGTGCTAGCTGCATATACACAGCACAACACACAACTTCTCTTGTTTGTTCAACTTATAACCATCTGAAGGGTTGTGTTCACCACTATGAGTCATCATGTCTGTGGGCAACATAGGCCAACACAAACCTGTCTCATCAGCATTATAAATTATCCCGCTTGTTGAATCTTTCACTGACACAACGGGTGCATTTGGAACTGATAAGGTGCATGGATATTCCTGTGTTGTGACAATATATCCAACATACCTGGAGGATAGGATAATCGAATCTGCCCATAGTAGGAAAACAGCATGTCAAGAATTTGGGAATGATGATGTACGATGACCTAACGTTTAGGGAGCATAACCAAGCAAATATTGTGTCAGCCAGGAAAATGATAGGATGGATTACGAGAACCTTCAAGTTCAGAGATCCCATCACAATGGTTGTACTCTTCAAATCACTTTTGTCCCGTCTTGAGTACTGCTTAGTACTCCAGTACTCATTTCTCCCTTCAGAGCAGGAGAGATTGCTGAAATAGTTGGAATACAGAGAACGTATATGGCGCACATAGACAAGATAAAGCACTTAAATTATTGGGAGCGTCTTAAAGCTCTCCAAATGTACTCACTAGAAAGGAGACAAGAGAGATACCAAATAATATACACATGGAAAATACTGGAGGGACAGGTCCCAAATCTACACAGTAAAATAACAACGTACTGGAGTGAATGATATGGAAGAAAATGCAGAATAGAATCAGTGAAGAGCAGAGGTGCCATAGGCACAATCAGAGAACACTGTATAAACATCAGAGGTCCGCGGTTGTTCAACGTCCTACCAGCGAGCATCAGAAATATTGCCGGAACAACCGTGGTCATCTTCAAGAGAAAACTAGATTGTTTTCTTCAAGGAGTGCCGGACCAACCGGGCTGTGGTGGGTATGTGGGCCTGCGGGCCGCTCCAAGCAACAGCCTGGTGGACCAAACTCTCACAAGTCAAGCCTGGCCTTGGGCCGGGCTTGGGAAGTAGAAGATCTCCCAGAACCCCATCAAGCAGATATATTTGGAGAGGGTTTCTGAGTAGTTCTACTTCCCAATCCTGACCTGGGGCCAGGCTCGATTTGTGATAACTTGGTCCAACAGGCTGTTGCTTGGAGTGGCTCGCAGGTCCACATATCCATTACAGCCAGGTTGGTCCAGCACTTCTTTCAAGAACCTGTCCCAAGTGCCTCTTGAATACATACACCTTCCCGGCAATATTTCTAATCAACATAGTCAAGGACTGGACACTCCAGTCTCGTGACAAATCGAACCAATGGGAACAGTGGACCATGAATCTGTGATGTCACAGTGTAGAAGGCTCTAAAGTGGCGTTCGACATGGTCATTGGGCAAACTAAACCCATCTCCCACCATCACCCCCCCCCCTGGCTGTGAAGCCTGGCGGACGCTTGCCTGATGAGCTACTCGAACCATTTTATATGAACCCTGCGTTACCTGAACCATTTTATACAAACCCTGCACTACCCAAATCATTTTATATAAACCTTCTGCCATCTGAACTTTAGTATCCGAACCAATCAAAATCGGGAAACTGGCATTTTCGAATAAGCAGCGTTTCTTAAAGCACGTAGCTGTCTATAGACCAATTTCCTTAGCATATTGTTATTTTTTAAGTTTTGGCCTTTCTGAACACTAGCACAATCTTATATTTAGTGTTGTTAAATGGAAAACAAAACAAAAAAAATCCATTGATTGTGCATGTTATGTTGCAAGAAACTTGCATAGAGATAAATTATTTTTGCTTTTTTCTTTTTATTATGGCACAATTTCTTCAGAATTTTCTTAGTTCATTGTTAATGTAGTTTGTATTGATTTCTAAAAAAAATTTCATGTGTACAGTACTTTGCTTATAATTTGTGTATCACGAAGTTCATTTCTATTTTTCTTTCTTGTGTCAGTTTTATAGTTCGTACTGATTGCAATACTTCAGATTTATACGATATTTTCCTTTTAGTTTGTTGTAATTGCCAGATGATGACTTGTAATTTGTCCTATGAGAGGAACATTGTGTTGCATATAAATGGATATGTTTGTTATTTATAAAAAAAATTCCACAGGCTGAAAATGAATCAAGCAGAGATGAAAAAGAGGAAAAAGTTTATGGTGAGGCTGTAGGTGGAGGTAATAGAAAAGTGGAGGAGGTTAAAGAGAATGGTGACAGCAGTGTACTCAGTGGTGATATCACAATCGACTCAATCCGTGACCACATGTAAGTTAAAGCCGAATACTCATTGTGCTGTATTTACTTTGTGCTTATGTGCGATAATTATCTAGTGTTGTGCTCAACATATTTGACTGTATGTTGCGTATGGTAGTGTTGCTTGTATGCTTCTGAATTCTTTCGCAGAAATTGGCGTTCTCAGCAAAAATACATTTAAGTGCATGCCATTAATATTTATAGTCAAATAAAGTTAAAAATCTGATAGCTAATTTTATTTCTGAGGAAATAATATCAAATTGTAATGTTCCCATTTTTCTGCTTTGGAAAATTAATGCACTTGGTTTGTTCTCCTTAATTTCTTAGCAATATTTCAACAAATTTGATTATATGTGCTCTCAGTTTTTATTTTATATATATGATGATGCTTGTGCAGAGGATGTTCCATTTGGATTTTCTTTTTTTGCACCGTATCAGATGTTCAAAATTATGTAGACTTTCAGAATTATTCTAAGCTGAAGTCATTTTAAATCTGCAAATTCAAATGTCAGCAACTGAACTTATTTTTATAGCTTGAAACACACAGAAAGTTAAAACATTCGTGCAGATTAAACGTCAAGTATTTTGTTTGCCAAATTTCTTGGCATTTGATGAAATAGTAATGTAGATCAGTAGTATGTTTCTTCACCGTATCAGGCATATCAGTCTTCAACTATTTTGCGGAATATGTTAGAGATGGAGCATGTGCCTGTATTTTTCTGTCTGGATGCATGTGCATGTACTCTTGCTGCAGTTCTACAATTTTTGATACTGTATATATATTTTTCTATTAGGTCAGTGTTGCCTGTTCGACTGTATATTACCTTGCAAATGGACAAAAGTTAATTATAAATACTGTAAAGTCCCACAGATGATTCATGAATTATTAGAGATAAAAGGTATCTGGAAAACATAGATAATATTAGTTTAAAAATTATGCCTTGATTTTGGTTAAAAACCAAAAAAAACTCATAAATACCAAACTTGCCGCCTTACTTTCTAGTGATCAGTTTAAAACTGAATATGTGTGGCTAGAAACACATTTCCATAATTAGCAATTCATGGTGTAAATTAACAGTAATAGTTTTTTGTTGAGGATTTGTTACTTTTAAAAAAGAAAATGAAAGGGAAAAAATCATTTAGTATAATTTCTGGAAATGTTCTAGCTACAGAATGAATATTCAGCCTCATTTGAGCATTTGGACACTTGCAAAGTTGAGTTCCTGCATCATTTGTGTGCTTCAACTATCATGTACGCATCTACACTATATTAACACTCACTAACCCCCATAAGGATACACTTCCCTAATAGTAATGAATGTGAATGTACACTAATGCCTAGAAAGAGTTTAAATGAAAGTCAGATAGCGAGACAGAATATATATATACAGAATTAATATTAAGAGGACAATTTGTAGGTGTTGATGTTATGTGAGGCAGAGGAGCAGAAGCTGAACTTTAGGGCTTTTACCAAGTAAAGTCACTTCACAGCTACAGATTTTGTTTTATATTTACCATCAGTGTAAACCAAGGATAGAATATTATGTCAACTAAAAAATAATTTTGTTTAACAGTACAGTACTTTAATGATATGGTGAAGTGGTTAGAGAATAGTACAAATTATAAAGCAAAGATGAATTGATCATATTTTTCTACCTTTAGTGGTGGAAGTTATGCAATTAGTTCAGTTTGGGTGTGCAAGTAGGGACCTTATGCAAAGAGGTATCAAATTATGGTAAAATTAAGAGGTATCAAATTATGGTAAAATTAAGAGGTATCAAATAAAGGTAAAAAAAAAGTTACAGGTAACAGAGATGCAGAAAAGAGTGTTAAAGGAGAGTAGACAAAATAGAGGAAAGGAAATACAGGAAAATAGAAAGGTTAAATATAAATAAACTTGAAAACCTAAGCAAAAGCCAGCAAGAAAGAGGATGAAGCAAACATGATTTTACCACAAGAGGCATTACTAGACATTTTATAATGAGGGGGGAAAACTAGGAGCAGAATTCCAGTAGGATTAAGAAGAGAGAAAGGGAGAGATAAGAATAGGAATAAGTTGAAAATGGAATTTTAAGGAATTACCGTATTTGTCTGCGTCTGCCATGATAGTATTACAGAAGAGTCTAACCGTGATAAAGACTGTACAATCTCCAGATATCAGTGAACACAATGCTGTTCAAGATGTTCACAATGCTAGCCACAGCACACTGCCATTGTTTGGTCCATCTAAGAATCTTGAAATGACTTCTCATCATCATTTAAAAATAAACTTTAGGAAAATTATTCATTTACAGGAGTTAGTGACCAGGATTCTGATAATAGCAGCATTGTGGTGAGAATTAGCGATGTGCATAGTATGGTGGGAGGAGTAATCTTGAGAGGAGGGAGGGAGAGGTGGCGTCGTCTGCTGACTGTATGTGGGGACCTCTGCTATTGTCTGGACTCACCATACTAGCTTAGTAGTTCGTTATTGTTTTTGTTAAAGTTCTGTTCCTCTTTCCCAAATATAGAACAGGACATTTCTTGCTGGCAGCCTCCTTTGTTGGGCTGGTTGGCGTGGGCTTCCGGCCGGGCTGCATGTCTGCTAGCCCGGGATCTGGTTCTTTCCCATCTTGCAGGGTTTTTGTTCCTGGTGATTTGGCGGAAGTCCCAGTTGGTTCTTTCTCGGGTTTGGACTTGGCTAGGCCTTGTGTGGGATTCACGGACTGCCTCTGTCTCTCTCCCTCCTGCGGTGTTGGTCCAGTTCCTGTCTCGCCTTCAGCTGTTTTGGGGGGACCTGGGCCACTCGACTATGGCTCGAGCTGTAATGCCAGAGCTTGGACTTTGCAGTGCAGGTTGACCTGCTGGGCAGGGTTTGGCTTTGGAGGCTGTTCTGGTATCTTCGTATCAGCCCCTTTTGCCTCTCTCGTGACCACTGGGTTCGTACCCCAGTGTTTGTCTGTCAGTTGCCGAGTCACCGGCTTTCTCTTCAGGTTTTTCGGGGCTCAGTGCCATGGCGCAGTGCCTTGGTCTGCAATTGATGGTTCCTCTCCAGCTTGCGTTCGGGGTGGATATCCCTTCTGTCCCGTTCCACAAGCTCTCCTGTGCAATTTGTCACGTCCGGCCTGCTCACGTGCCGTTTGAGCCGTCTTGGTCTTTAGATCAGGAGCTCTTTTTTCTTTCCTCCTCTCGGTTTGTTGTGGCCCCCTTCAGTTCGGGATTGTTTTTTTGAATGCCTTGTTTTTGTTGGCTTTGTCCTCTGAGGGTAGAGATGGGGAGCTCATGCTCTTTTCCAGCGCAAGGGGTCTTGCTCCTTTAGTCCTGGGGGTTGTTTTGTTCATTTGCAGCTTTTTGGGTACTCTGTCTTGGGTCGACATTTGGGTGCGGGGGTTTTGGAGGTCGAACAGTCTGGGCTGCTGGGTATCTTGTGACCATTCCGGGCCCTCTCTGGCCTTGTGTTGCTTTGGGTCATCTGTTGCGGTCTGTTGTCTTGAGACCTGTGGTGTTGCTGTTCCCCGTGTAAGTACCTCTTTTACTTATCTGTGGGTAGTTAGCTTCAGGGACCTGACAGGGCTCCCCTCAGAAAACCAGCATTGTATTTAATGAAATGCCATTTTTCTGGGCGAGTCACAAAGGCTCCCTGACACCCCATCTCCCTCCGGTTGGTGGTTTTTCATCATTCTACGAACTGGAGTGGTGGGCTGCCGGCTCGGCTAAGCGGGCTTCCCCTCCCCCGTTTCAGGAGGGGGGGGGGTGCTAGTTGGATGACGATTTGCTTGCTTGCTTGCTTACATGTTTGTTTGTTAGGTTTTTGGGGGAAGTCCTTTGGCTCTATTCAGATGTAGGTTACAATTTTTACCAGTTAGGGGTTTGTATTGGTTCGCCTATCTTTCTGGGTGCCCTTCTCGATCTATGGCAGACATGACATATTCTAAATGTAGAATGCTCATAATGGCCATTGCTCCCTGCGCCTCTCTGAGGGTACCAGGTTCTGGCTCTGGTAGGCACTACAACTCCTGAAACTGATGGCACCAAACTAACATGGCACATGTCAGTTTGATAGCTTTAGGTAGTCTCCGGGGCTTGACCAGAAAATGGTGTTTCATTACATTCAACGCTGTTTTTTTTTTCTTCTTGCGCACAGAAATGATGTTGGCTGTTAATAGCTGAGCAGCCTGGGGGGTTAAACCAAGTTGCATGTAAACAGAATGACATCAGATTAAGGAAGCCTAGCAAGCCCACACACAGCATTTAGAAACTTTCACAGAATTATTTGGAATATATACCAGCATATGTAAAGCCACTTCTAGAATATAAAGTACTGGCATAGAATCCCCACCATGTGAAGCAACAGAAAAATTGGGAATGTCATGAGATTTATTATGAGACTGTGCTAGATATGAGGGAGCTGGGCTATGGAAATGAAGTAAGGAAACTCAGTCTAGCAACACAAGAAGACAGGATGACCAGAATAAGTTTGATCACAGGGTATAGATTCTGTGTCAGTGTTGCATTTTCTATAGCTGCATTGACATCATGTCTACCTATTTGATCCAACAGCTTTATTGATTTTGTAGATGGTGTACTCGTACCTCCTAATGTTCTAGTGCTGTTGCACTTGCCATGCAGCCAAATCTGGAGATTGCATGAACCACTTTTACTCCCAGTGCTCCATCTGCTTTCCACCCAAATTGCATATGGATACTATACTTTCTTTTCAAACATCTTCCTGTTCCTCTTCATTATATTTTTCCTGTATTTGGAAAATGGCTATGCCTGTCTACCTTGTATCATTTCCCTTAGTATCTTATGTGAGATAGTGAACAGAATAGATGAGATGGACAGGCAGTATTTCATCCATGCATGCACACACACTCACAAAGATCACTGCATAAGGCAACACACACACACACACACACACACACACACACACACACACACACACACACACACACACACACACACACACACACACACACACACACACACATGTAGTAGCAAGTGCAGACTAGACACAAGTGCTCCTTGTGTTCATGTGTGTGTACCTCCACACCTCCTGTGAGGTGAATGGCATATTGCTCCAAGCAAAGCTCAGTAGATGTAGTATTCCCTGTTTGTGTTGAACTGTAATAACAAGTTATATTTCACAACCAGAAGTGGAATAGTTTTCTTCTGAACAATTTTTGCACCTGTCATTTATACTGAAAAATAATTAGTTGTTGATTTGAATGACAGATGGTGTTACACATACAAATGCATTGTAGGCACCTGGAAAACTATTGTCTTGTATATAGGATAATATAGACAAAATTGGAAGAGTACTTATATGATTACTATTCAGACTATATGCTTTATGTATATTACCCATATAGCAGGTATGACTAGCTTAGTACAAGTTATTAGAGGACAAGGTAGGCAAGAAAACAAAAACAAAATCCACCTAATGGTGCCTCTTGTATATTAAAAAATTGCATAACCAAATTAATGTAACTTAGAAAGGTCAAATTTAGTTTGAGATGGATTTTGTTTGAGATGGATATTAGCTGAGCAACTGGTGACATTATGAAGGAATTTTTAGCATGCAGAGGCACTACATGTGCTTACTAAATGGTGCATGATGGTTGTGCATGATGCGTACTTCCAGCATCCCTGGTGGACCTCCAAATACATGCACAGATCTCTCTCAATAGAACAGTCTTGTTAGAAAGGTGTCCTTAAAAATGTCTGCAGTTGAGGAATAAAAAACTATCTAATCATTCTATTAATTATTCTAAATGCTTTGTTTTGGACAGTGTTATGTCTAACTGCAACCCTACGCCACTCAGCCCTAATGTGTGAGCAGTACTCCATCTGGGAGCCTATGGAATATTCTGGATGATGGGCAGCTTGTTCAGCCATAAACTAATGCCGCACTGGAGAGAAGAGCAAAGTCATCATAAGATATTAAATATTTATATTCATTCCATTACATTGATGCCATCTCACAAAAAAAGTTTCTTTGCAAGAACATTTTGCTAATTAGAAGTTGACTATCTTATGGTTAGGTAGCAGTGTTTTTGTATCATTTATCCTTTTAATCATTAAACGTGTCATGCAAGTTTGTAGTGGATATTTTCTTATCCAACCATAGTTAGAGGCAAGAGTTGCGCTTGTGTGCTGAGGGTTCTTCATCGCATCTGGTATCTTGTAGCCTAAAATGTTACTAGTAGTTGCCTTATTATAACAACACAGAACCAGTAATACAGAGATAAGTCTGAGGAATTTTTTCATTATAGAAGAAACATGCATAAAGACTACAATGCCAAAATACATAATTTGAAGTTTTAACTTTATTCTTCTGAATTGTGTTAAAGATGTAAATAAGTAATACAAATTTAAACCTCATAATGATATTTTTAGGCACTTTATATTTTTATTTACTTGGTGGCTGTAGGTGGAATAATTTGCAACTCAAAAATATTTATTTTATATATATATGTATTGATGTGTATCAGGTTATGTCATGTGCCTGTTACTGAATTCTTCAGTATTGGCTCCCACCACTCCTTCTATTACCATCTGTCTTAACATTTCTGTATTCTGAACTTTCTATGTACTGTAATTATATTCTAATAAATTTTATTGTTCTCTCACTGCTTGTGCTTTAAAACAACATACTATATTGAATGCATCGAAAGAGTACGGTCGTGACGCTTAATATTTGGTGTGGTTTGAAGATGTGTTGGTGTAGTTAGAGCGGGGTGTGAGCATGCACACTTGTGTTTTGTCCTCTTCACTTCTTAAGGTATTAATCACCACTATTATAACTCTTCTTGAAAACCTCTGTGATTGTATTAGCTGTAATTAACCAGGTGGTGCAGGTTTTATTTAAAAGAAATTCTTTGCATGTATAAATCAAAGAAAAATTGTAATATTGTGGGAGACAAAAATAGCAGGCTAACTGAACATATAGGGAATATCTGATATGATAAATGGCAAGTGACAGTTCTTTGAAACAGAAATGCATTGATGTTATCTTGTGGAACCATCTCTGGAAGATAGGACGTTCTGCTTCTTCGCTATAATGCTTTTGTGATTGCTGGAGGAAGATTTATAGAACTATTTGAATTTTAAAGGACTATAAAGAAATTTATCTTTTATGCTTTTTCTATTGTAAGGTATTGTTTGCTCAATATATTAGTGTACAGAACAGCATTTGGAAAGCAAAAAAATTAATATTGCATTAATTAATTAAAATGTAGTGGAGAGCACATATTAGAAGAAGAATAAATGATAAAAATATGATTTAGCCGAATTTACTCTTTATAAAGTTCAATTATTAAGCTTAAGATTACCACCATTGTGAAGCTCATCAGGTAGTACTGCATGTGTACAAATTGTCCAGTCCTTAATTTGCCTGTAATTTTGTTGTGCAAATTTTCATTTTGGGTCCCGAGTTATCTATAAACAGTACCATGTAAATAAGAATCTAAATTTCCAGTTACAGAGAAATTTATTTGTCTCAACATTTGAATGTTTTGTATGTGATAAGTAGATCCTTGCTTTACTGAATGTGTAGTTCTTGTGATGTTTGGTAATCCTTGTGTCTGCATGACTGTAACTTTGTGCTGGTGTAGGGACGAGCTCAAAGTGAACGAGAAGACGATGGAGGTGGCCACTGCAGGTAACACTACCAGCGCCGCTGCCCTCACCAGTAGTAGTGCTACAGTGAAGCAGGAGAGCAGTAGTGTCACTGTTGTCAAGTCCACCACCATCACCTCCATGTCCTCATCCTCTCAAGGTATGTCATTGTTCAATGGCAACACTTTCAGGTTTACAGTATTTGTTTCTCACCAAAAATGGTATAGAGAAAGCACAAAGTTGCAACTTGTTCCATTTTTTGTATATTCAGGCATATTGTTGTTGGAGGTAGACATTATTTTGCACAATGGTTTCTTATTTTCACACGGCTCATTAAGTAGATGTAGTGGGTGAGGATCATGCCTCCACTCAGTTGTGTTATTTCTCTCAAAAGGCTCACAATATACACACAACATGATCAGTCTCTTCCAGCCCCATCATCTGAATTTTTTAAACAGCTAATTTGTGACATTTATTTTGATATTTGTATCTCCACCATACACCCTTAAAACCATTACTTTATACATTCCATTTTTAGCATATGTTTTATATACAAGAGCTCTTACATTCTTGTAAAGCCACTAGCACGCATAGCATTTCGGGCAAATCCTTAATTCTAATTTTCCCCAGAATACAACCCACCAAATCATTTAACAACCAGGTACCCAATCACTGCGGGGTGATCAGAGGCTACAGCTAAGGATTGGCACCTGGTCAATCCTCCCCGGCCAGGATACAAACCCAGGGCAAAGCACTCACGAAACGCCGGGCGAGTGTCTTACCACTGTGCCACGGGGACTGCTTTTTCTATAAACAATAGACATGACAAAAGTTTTACATGAAAACTGTTTATAAATAGTTTTACATGACAAAATATAGTTAAAGGAGGTCATTTGTACTCCTGAAGTAATTGAAGTTAAGAATTGAGAACAGTAGGGAGGTGGAAGTAGATAGTCAACATTTAAAAGATGCCATTAATATATATGGAGATGATCAATTTAAGGGAAGACTGCTAAATAGTGTTAAGAAGTAGTGCATGTCAGGCACATTTGAGTGTTATGAAGAAAAGATAGTTATTTATGAATCTTGTTTGTAAAAGTTTTATTCCCTTTATTTTTCACTAAAATTAGCATAAAATTTGTTTCATGTTGCCTTAAGTCTCTTATGCATGGACAGTGCAAAATTCACACACAGATAGTTTGCAGTTCATTGTACAGTGCATTAAAATATCCATAGGTGTGAATAATTATTTGAGCATGTTTATTGTTTACTGTAAAAATTGCATGAAAAATTCTTCAAACATTGTTATATAGCACATATTTTCAAATACATTTTACTTTCATGTTCATTATTAGATTAGAATAGTTAATATGTGTAACAAATTGATTTATTTTAACCCTTAAAACTGAAAATCTTGGCATCCATAATATTAATTTATTACCCAATTCTTCACCTTACAAAATAATTACTTGTTTGTAAATTCTGATGCTAATAAAATAATATTGAAAAATAATATACATTGAATAAGTTGTTAAGAATATTAAACGAAGGTTGACAGCAGTAAATGTAGAGGGTGATGTACTACACCAGCAGAGAGGGAGGGAGGACTGCGGAGGGCTCATAGTGCTCGTGACCTTCCTCTGGGATAAACAAGCCATATCACTATGAAAAATTGCTTCTAGTTCTTAAATGAAATGCAAGAGAATGGGACACAACAATCACAAGCAAAACATACATACATATACATACATACACATACATACATACACATACATACATACATATACATACATACATATACATACATACATACACATACATACATACATACATACATACATACATACATACATACATACATACATACATACATACATACACATACTGTATATATATGTCGTACCTAGTAGCCAGAACGCACTTCTCAGCCTACTATGCAAGGCCTGATTTGCCTAATAAGTCAAGTTTTCATGAATTAATTGTTTTTCGAGTACCTAACCTACCTAACCTAACCTAACCTAACTTTTGCAGTTACCTAACCTAACCTAACCTATAAAGATAGGTAGGGTTGGTTAGGTTCGGTCATATATCTACGTTAATTTTAACTCCAATAAAAAAAATTGACCTCATACATAATTAAATGGGTAGCTTTATCATTTCATAAGAAAAAAATTAGAGAAAATATATTAATTCAGGAAAACTTGGCTTATTAGGCAAATCGGGCCTTGCATAGTAGGCTGAGAAGTGCGTTCTGGCTACTAGGTACGACATTATATATATATATATATATATATATATATATATATATATATATATATATATATATATATATATATATATATATATATATATATATATATATATATATATATATATATATATATATATATATATATATATATATATATATATATATATATATATATATATATATATATATATATATATATATATATATATATATATATATATATATATATATATATATATATATATATATATATATATATATATATATATATATATATATATATATATATATATATATATATATATATATATATATATATATATATATATATATATATATATATATATATATATATATATATATATATATAATATAGTATGAATAAATACATGGTGCATATATATATTTATACACACGCCCCCCCAAGCCCCCCATCCCTCCAAGCCTCTCCTCCCCCCATGCCCCCCCAAACCTCCCCATCTCCCACACCCCCCAACCCCCCTCCTCTCACTCTCCCCCTCTCTCTCCCCCCCCCCCAATCCTTCCCCTCTCACCCCCCTACCCCCCCTCTCACCCCCATACCCCCCCTCTCCCCCCCCCCCAAGCCCCTCATCCTCCACCAGTCTCCCCATACCAGATCCTCCCAGCTCCCGCTCACCCCAGATCCCACATGTCCTCCCCAGAGGAGAAGCAGAAAAGAGTCAGTTTCAGGGTAATGTACTCGAACATAGATGGGATCACAAGCAAGGCAAGTGAACTAAGGGAAAGAGCACAAGAAGTGAACCCAGATGTAATCGGACTCACTGAAACAAAACTCTCGGGAATCATAACGAATGCCGTGTTTCCCCAGGAGTACACAGTATTAAGGAAAGAGAGGGAAGGTAGGAGAGGAGGTGGAGTGGCCCTACTAATGAGAAAGGAATGGAGTTTCAAGGGGATAGCTATCCCGGGCTGTGAGGGTTTCAGAGACTATATAGCAGGCACCATGACAATGGGAGGACCAAGAATAGTAGTAGCAGTGATATATAACCCTCCACCAAATGACAGAAGACCCAGTCAAGAGTATGACAACAACAACATGGCAGTTAACACTATAATTGAGAGGGCAGCCTCTGCTGCCCGTAGAAATAGATCCCACCTGCTCATCATGGGGGACTTCAACCATGGAAGGATTGACTGAGAGAACAAGGAACTGCATGGAGGCAAGGATACGTGGAGAGCCAAACTATTGGAGGAGGTGGCTAGAAATTTTCTAACCCAGCATGTCAGAGAACCCACAAGGATGAGAGGAAATGACGAACCAGCGAGACTCGACCTAGTCTTCACTCTGAACGACTCCGACATAAGAGAAATCGGCTTTGAGACCCCAGTAGGAATGAGCAACCACAGTGTACTGGTGTTTGAGTACCTGATTGAACAAGGGTATTGGACTCATTGAGGGGTACTGAAAACAAAAGGCTGGCATTTCAAAAGGGAAACTATGAGGAGATAAGAAAATTCCTAACAGATATAGCATGGGAACCAGAGCTCAGGGGGAAAGACGGCCCAAGACATGATTGACTACATCACGCAGATGTGCAGGGAAGCAGCAAACAAGTTTGTCCCAGTCCAAAAGGAAAACAGTGAAATGAAGATGAGAAACCCATGGTTTAATCAGAGATGTAGGCTAGCTAAGCAGCAAAGTAAAAGGGCGTGGAGAAACTATAGGAATAACAGGACACTTGAGAGCAGAGAGAGATACCAGCGTGCCAGGAATGAATATGTCAGGATGAGAAGAGAGGCAGAAAGATAATACGAAAATGACATCGCAAGCAAGGCGAAGACTCGGCCTAAATTGCTGCACAGCCACATCAGGAGAAAAACAACAATAAAGGAACAGGTTATGAAATTAGGGATAGGGACAGAAGGATTTACTACAAACGACAAGGAAGTGTGTGAGGAACTGAATAAGAAATTCCAGGAGGTATTCACCTTAGAGCAAGGAGAAATTCCAGAGATAAGAGAGGGAATAGTTAACCAGGAACCACTGGAAGAGTTTGAGATTACCAGCGGGGAAGTAAGGAAGTGCTTACTAGAGTTGGATGTGACAAAGGCTATAGGCCCAGATGGAATCTCCCCTTGGATACTATAGGAAGGAGCAGAGGAACTGTGCTTGCCACTCTCCATAGTGTATAACAAATCACTGGCAACAGGGGGAACTGCCTGAAATTTGGAAAGCAGTTAACGTAGTCCCGATATACAAGAAAAAGGATAGACAGGAGGCACTGAACTACAGGCCAGTGTCCCTAACCTGCATACCATGCAAGTTGATGGAGAAGATTGTGCGAAGAAAGCCAGTGGAACATCTGGAGCAAAGGCACTTTGTAACACAGCATCAACATGGGTTCAGGGATGGCAAGTCCTGCTTCTCAGGGTTACTTGAATTCTACAACCAGGCAACAAAAATCAGGCAAGAAAGAGAAGGGTGGGCAGATTCCATATTTTTGGATTGCCAGAAAGCCTTTGATACAGTACTAGATACCTGGTTGATATCTGGTTGATGGGGTTCTGAGAGTTGTTCTACTCCCCAAGCCCGGCCCGAGGCCAGGCTTGACTTGTGAGAGTTTGGTCCACTAGGCTGTTGCTTGGAGCGGCCCGCAGGCCTACATACCCACCACAGCCCAGATGGTCTGGCACTCCTTGGAGGAAGAAATCTAGTTTCCTCTTGAAAATATCCAAGGTTGTTCCAGCAATATTTCCTATGCTCGCTGGGGGTGTGTTGAACAACCGTGGACCTCTGATGTTTATATAGTGTTCTCTGGTTGTGCCTATGGCACCCCTGCTCTTCACTGGTTCTATTCTGCATTTTCTTCCATATAGTTCACTCCAGTACATTGTTATTTTACTGTGTAGATTTGGTACTTGGCCCT